GCGCATTTTATGTACTTCGTTTGCGGGCGGATTTCTAAAGCACATCGGATAATTAGTGCTGTGAAGCGAATGAGAAGCCAGCAAAAGACGTTCATTTATAATTATGCCTTGAAAAATGAGTGGCGACACGCTGTGACAGAGATACTGCTGTGAGGATAGTTAGCGCAGAATATTTGTGAGGTGGAAGCTCACTATGTGGTTATGCGGAAATCAACGACTCTTGGTGTGCGGAAAAATGAAAGTTGAATATGGCTATCAAAATAGTGTTTCTTAATTAATGAGTTTTTGAAACGCTGCAAAATAGGTATGAAATCGTATTCAAGGCTGGACGAGATCTCTTTCAAGTCTAGCATACATTAGATGTAAAGTTATGCAACAAACGATCAGTCAACCACTTAATATGAATCATCGGTATAAGAGAGTTAGACGGTTTGCGTCTAAATTTACATTTGGAAGGTACTGAAGTTCGACTTTTTTTTTACATCTGAAACAAAACTTAGAAACCAGCACAACTGTATACTATATATGTGCCACCCACAACCAATATTTTTTATGAAACTATGGCAGGTAATGACAATATTTATGAAAGTTTATTTCAACGGCTACCGGCTACTAAATCATAAATAATAATAATTCTTGTACATATCTCTTAATATATGCAAATTCATACATATTCAGGTGTGTCGATCTGATTTTATACCACACGCTTAATTTAACCGACACATTTGCATTTATCACAATCCATTTCAGTCACAACGAAGGGTAGGCATTCATCGCTTGTAGGAGAACCACCACCCTTGCTTGGAGAGGGAGAGGAACCCCAAGTGTTGTACATAGTGTTGTTGATTTAGGTAGTGGTCGTGTGGCGTGCACAAGTTCAAGTCTGACAGCCGGCTAACAAATAAGTATGCTAAAGCAGCTTGAATGAAAAACAGTACACACTTTCTTGTTGTTGGAAATATATGTTTGATATTCATAATATGTAAATACATATACAATATGTAAGCAAAAGTTTTTGGTCGTAAATTTTGTAGAATTTTAAGGGTTGCTTGCCTATGTGGATAATTGTGCGCTCGAACCGGTGTCCGTGCGCGCCTTTTCTACATGCTGCTTTGTCCTGTTCCCCTCACCTCAAGCGGCGGTACAAGGATTGGTAACACGTCCACATAATGCGCTTAAAATTCCGGCAAAGTGAATTATTTTTGAAAATTGTCAAGTTCCTCGTTTTGTAACGACTCGCCTCGTCTCTTTAAATAAGGCAAAGTAACGCTTATGGTTTCATTGTTTCTAGCGGAAGTGTTGAGGAATTTCGATAGAACAATCAAATTTTATGAAAATATGTACCTGCATGTACACACGCACTTATGATTGTATATGCATATAACGCGTGTGTGAGCTTAATCACCATTTAATGTGTGTATGCATAATCATTCCTGTATTGACTACAGTTGGCAGTTTGGAAAATTATTATAATTTGGAAATAATTTTTGAACCCTGAACCTTGCTGCAAGTATTTCTGCAGCGGGGTACCAAATTTTAATATTTATGATTTTTTCCTATTTTATTTTGTGGTATTGAAAAGATTTTAGTAGAAATAAATTGATATATTTCGACCTTATGGTATTATTCTTTAATACGTTTCAAATAAAAAACTTCACTTAGAAAACGGTGGTTCTGGCAGGGGTTTCTCCTTTCTGTTTGACAGCATTTTAAAGCAAACAAACTAAATTTTCCCATTTTTATTTACAGCAATTTAAACCAACCATCGTTTTTAGATCACAGATTTGCGTATAAAGTGAACTTATTAGCAAAAACCAAATTAAAAGTTCTTGTTGAAAGCATAAGCGACCTGAGCCATTTATTTCCAATAATTGGTATAGTATTATGTTCAATGCGATAAATTTTGGCAGCACACCTTAATATTATACTTAGCAAAACCTGAACCAACCCATGTACAAACAAATCATATAAGCAGTTTTGCGTAATTGCAAATTCACTGAAATGCTCTTAACAATATTTGCTGATAACAAATAATGTTGTTTATAGGCTTTTTGTGGCTCCATTATCGGCACACACATATCTACTAATTCACATTACGGTTGATTTGCTTTAGTATGACTTTTCGTCAAGTAACTTTAGAAAAAGGAAATGTGTTGTTTTTAAAAACAACTTCGCAAAAGCAAGCATCCACAGACATTTTTAGACAGACACATTATTATTAAAAAAAAAAACAATTAGATGAAAAAATACTAGTATATTGTTTGTATTTCAAGCACTTACAACAATGGTTGAATAATTATTGGTGGATTTGACATGACACAAGCGATAAAAATAATTAAAAAGCTGTAGCCAAATGAATTTCACTGATAGCATTGAAATAATATGATTTTAATTAAAGAAGATATGATTATTCTTTTAAAGTATATCTACAACATAATTCAGGGTATGTACTAGAAAACTACGTTTCGAAAGGTCAAATCCCAATTCTTTCACCGAGTTCGAAATAATACGTTTGTGCTTTAAGTCGTGATCTGCATAAAATATATTTTTGCTAATTAATTTTTTACAGTGTATTTGTGAAAACGCTTAAGTTCTATAGTCTAACTTAACTTATGATAGTGATAAGTTTTTAATAATATACAACCATAGAATTATCGATAAAATCAACAAAGTAAAGATAAAAGTTTTAATAAACAAAAGCCTAACCATTTATTTCGTTATCATAATCAAAACAAAAAAAAAAGGTTCTGGATGGAATAAATGTCAATCAGCGCCATTTCATTACGAAGACAGAAAACAACTAACTATAAAACTAAAACCAAATGCATTGTTGTTTATGAAAATGTATAATCCGATAGTTCTATTAATTGAAATACAGAAATTTCCAACAAACATTTCTCTTTTGTTTAAGATCGTACTATATTTGGAAACAAAATGTGATCACACAAAAACTACACACACTAACTTCTCATATGAAATGAGACTCTGGTTACGACACAATTACGTCTAGTGGATCATGCCGTAACTATTTCGTAAACACACCATATTCACCGTCAAATTGAACATCTGAGCGTCAAACTATTTATTTACTTCGCCATCGTTCGCTGTTTATCATGCGGGGGTATCAGTCAGCCGAGTGTCACCGACACTCGATCAAATATTTGATTTAAATTTTAGATTAAAATGCAAACGTTAATGAAGCAATTCATATTGAAGGTGTTGGCTACATTTTGTTTGATTTTCATTTCTACACAATTTTCAATCGATTCGACGCGACAACGCTCCCAAAATCGTAAACCACCAGAAAATCGAAAAACACCAATTAAAAAAAAGTAAAAAAAATATACAATATATTGCTTGGCACATTATATTGTAAAAGCGTTCAAATAGAAATGTGCGATCATACGCATATGCAAAGGTTGAAATGCTTTGACTGGAATCACATGAAGTTGACTTTTGAAAAGGCGCTCATAGGCATAACGCTGCCTTTGGACTGGGTGATTACGGCGCGTTGATAAGGCCAGACCAATTGTGAAATACTGAACGTATGTATGCATAATAACGTCAGTGTGGGTTTTGACTTAATAAAGCTGGCACCACTCACATCATGGGAGTTGGAGTTGAGGGAAATATCCTTGTCATTTGTATACATACATACATACACATATGCGCGTTTGACTCACAGTTAACAAAAACACTAATCTTTTGCCTTATGTATGATGCATGACCACACTTTAATTAGTTGGCCAAAGTTGGGTGAGTAAGTTCGCAAATTTGCGTATTTTTATCTTATCTTCATATGCTTATGACGTTATGTATTTACCATGCTTTTAGGTAGAAATGCCAATGTGAAATTTCGCACGTCCGCATACAGTTTAGTTGCTGCCTTTTCCGGCTATGTTCCACCATTTTTTGCACTTTATATTTGATTTTCTATGCAGACACAAAGACGCCTCATAACTCGCACCTTCCTGTGCTAAAACTTATAGAAGCAAGGTGCACAAATTATTGCGAAGATATCGTACATACATAAATATGTACATATGTATATGAATATCTGGTTTGTTGCTGTATACATACACAGATGCTTCATACACTTAATTACAACGTTCAACTATTTGATGGATCTACTAAAGCTGCTAGTCGATGGAACTCGTGCCGTCAGCAATGACTAATTAGCTTTGCTCGGTGCTGCCTCTTCGCTCTGCCGTAAATTCAATATTTGTTCAATGCCCCATTAGATTTCTTCAGTATGTAAACATGTATTTGCATATTTATGTACATAAGTACATACCTGTGTATGTTGTATTTCTTGTTGCCATAAAATGTGCGAAATATTTTCTTGTAATTACTAATGTCGCGCTACATTTGAATTTGAGCAAATACACTGAAGTGTGACTTTCCGCTTTTTAGCGCGCTTTCAGTCGTGGCGGACCATGGACAACGGCATAGTAAGTACTTATGTACATACATACATATTTATGTATGCATTAGCACGCACGATACTTCGCTAATAATTTGTTCAAAATTAAGCCCAAGAGTACATTCATAATGTAAACGTTTACTCAGAAAGCTGGTAAAATAATAAAGAAGCATTAAAAATCGGGAATATATAACCAAAATGTTGGCATTCAGGCGCTCAAAGAGTCGTGACAAAGAATTATTGAATTGGAGCAACGAGTGGCGGTTTACTTGTGAACAGCTGCTTTCGAAATAGATTTAAAGAAGATAAAGAAAGATTTATTTAAGGAAATATGTTTTCGATATGAATATAAATTTTTCAGGAAATTTCTAAGAGAAGGATTGTACAAATTTAAAAGTACTTGTGTATACATTTTTGAAGATACAATATTTCCTAACAAACTTCGAAAATCTTTGGATGTTTTAAAAATATATACAGTTTATTTACAGTTACTTGGGTTTTCGAACAAAGCATTTCCCCGCTTTAATTCGTAGGAATCTGACATTGAGTGGTTTGATATCGTAAGTTTTTCACTCACCTTGACTTGCATTTGAAAAATGCGCTTGCAGCAATAATGAAGCCAAAATTCCCAATACCATTACATGCAACTGCAGCCGCTGCGGTTGCTGGTGTGTTTGTTGCCATTTGCGTGAACGCACGCCTGTCGACAGGCGAGTCCACATTTTTACCATCTACTCGGACTGTGCGTAGCCTCCGTCTCCTGTGGTGCACAATCGATTTGGCACCCCGCTGTCACTTGTCTAAATTGCAATATGTGTCCTCTTTGTAGTTAATCCTTTTGATGAATATCCAATGTTCTCTTTATTTCATGAATTTTCCAACAAACAATTGTAACACACAGCATCAACATAGTATTTTTTCATTTTCTCGCAGTTTTTACACTTTTACAAATACGCTTTGAATGTGTATTCGCAAGCGACGCACTGAGGCAAGGAATAGGGGAAGTTGCACATACCCATTCACATACGTTTAATATTCGAAAAGTAAATTAATCCTTAATAAAGACGAACTGTTAATCACTTGATAGCATTTTATCAATTGAAACGGTGAAATTGTTGTTTTACCGGCTTTTTGACGCGCACTACTACACTAACAATTCTACTATTATTAAACAATTCACACATTCACTCGACCTTTCATTGTTGTATTTTTTCCGATTCGAATAAACAAAACGCGATTTTTACGTGGAACAAAAACAAAATTCGGACTGATAAGCAAAAGCCCTGCGCAATTTATATATTTATCTCACTCCCACTAAGGTTGGCCGCGGGCACCATTTCCGCTTGCGGTGCTACTCTATCAATTTGTTTGCACAAAACTAATTTTGCAGACAAGCATTTTGGCGAAATATCTGAGGCTTCAATTAATAAATTCGACACTGTAATGCTTTTCAGTGTTTAAAACTTGAAACAAAAATAATTAATGAACTAAGTATTTGTGCAACACTATACATTATTCCACTTTTATTCAAAATACTTTAGATTTCTTCATAAGAAAGTCGAATATTTCACATCAAACAACCGCAACCTTCCGTCCAAATATTTAGACATCCGCACCAAATATTCGAAAAAGTCAGACTGATTCAAATGCAGTTCGGGAACACTGAATGGAGTGCGCGTTGTTGCCGGACTACCCGCAAACAGCTGAAACTAAGAAAATAGTTTGCGCGCCACCTTTTGGCCAATAGCTTGCGTTAAGAAACGAATTAGTGCTGTAAGTGTAATTCCAACCCCAATTGTGTTAAAATTCTTAACAATTTTTCAACCGTTATGTTCCTTTTGTTTGAGTGTAATTATGTTCAAAACGCAGCATCTGTGATTTACAACATTGAACATGTTGTATATAACTTTGTCATTTTTTAAATAGATTTCGCTGAGCGACGAATCAAAAAACAAAAATACGAGTATATTACATTTTGGTGCAGAATTTCATCCAGAAACAAGGTCTTCCTCGAATATATATATGTATATATAACATGTTGGCTGAACAGCTTATTTTAAATGCGATATGAAAGATTTAAGTTTTTTTTTGTCAGTCCTGGTAAAAGATTAGACAGAGTTTAATTTTAAGGGATTATAAAAATTTCTTCGTCAGTATATGAGATATACGAGTGAAAATTAATACATAGGTGTATTTGGAGATTCTATTGATCATTGGAATCGGTCACATCGGACAACCATATCATATATCGCCCTTACAACCGATTTTTCAGTTATTTTATTTTCCGGTTGTATGCCTTAATGTACATACTTGTGTTTTTCGAATGGAAACATTTTTAATTGCGTTTTCTCATAGTATATTCTTTTGAGATTAATACTTCCAAATTTCATTAAGAGCACTAGCCAAAGTTACAGCTGTCAACAGTGCGCTCTTCCCATGTGACCCCAATGTTCTTTATAAAACGTATTAGTTATGAGTCTCTTAATTTATTTTTCGTATTCCACTTCTTTCCTGCTTGTTACTCTAACTCTACTCTTTATAACATGACCGCTATCGGGCCCTGAGCCTTTTTACAGGTTTATAAATAATTTTATTAGAGTTTACTTGTGTCCGAGAAGTAACAATGTTGCTGTCGCTACCCTTGAGAAACCAAATTTTAAATTTTCCCGCATGTTGGATGGAGTCCGATTTCAGGGTCAAGATACAACTATTTGATTGTGCTGGTCGCCTATTAGTAAGCAATCTGACGATAGATACTTTAAAACTGGTCCGTTTAGGATTTATTTTTACATTTCTTCTCCTCGGCTTGCTTACAATTATACTCAACGGCTCTTCCCCTCTCAAGTAAATCACGGAAAGTTTTAACATCTTGACGTAATATTTGACGCCGATACTTTATATTCAGCAAACCATAGACCATATCTAACTCGGTATCCTCATCGTGCCGCCCCTCGGGCAATTGTGCCAGTAGAGCACGCATCTGACAGACAAATGTTCCTATGGCTGTTTGGTCATCTTGCTTTTCCTCAAAAATCTCCATATACAATTGATAAGCTTGTTTGGCGGGTGCGAAGTGCTCACGAATCAAAGCGATTGCCTCGTCCCAAGTATGCACTTCCTTCGCCCCACGCACACCCAGCCACCATAAGGCGGCCTCGCCGTAAAACAGTATGGCGATACTTTTAAGCGCGTCTTCATCGCTGATCGATTCCATATCCTTGTATGCCAGTACTGATTGAATAAACTCCTCGACATAAACGGAATCATGTTGATCTCCAAGACGACTGTTGCAATACACGAACGTGCCTCTCATCTTCACGGTAGCTGGGGCGGCGCAATTCGCTGCTGCAACGGCTGCAGAACGTACCGAATCCAACATTAACTGTAGCTGCTCGGTCGTCAGTTGAATGGTGGATTGTTGGGACATTATCGTTATTGTTGTTGTCTCGCATTCGCTTGACGTTATAAGGAGCTTTTATAGGTAGTGTTGGTGTTGGCACAAGTTCTGCTGCAGTCCACGCGCACTGCTCTTAGTTGCATTTAACTCGACTAAATTTTGATTCGCACATACACCTTTTATATGATTACATACTCAAAGCATTTCGCATGTTTCGAGAGCACAAAACGTTCTACTGAGAGAGCCTCTATATTGCATTTACATACGAACATGTACTTGTATGTCTCAATGCTGCACATTACCGGTTTTTTATGTTTACCTACATACAAACATTTACATAGACATACATACATATGTAAATATGTACATATACATATTTTTTTGATTTCTACATTTTGTGAAATTCAATCAAATTGAGCTTCGTAATAATTTTTTTGCGAGTGCGTAAACGTAGCATTGCAAATAGTATATACACGTTGCAGTGCATTCTAGGAAATTCTAGCCCAAGGTGTGTTAGTAAGTTTGACAGTTCTTATTGCTTGTTGTGTTTACGCATTCGGGCGCATGAAAATAGAAAATATCAACTTCTATGAATATTCGAATCCAAGTCCGATTTCTGAGAGCAGGTTGCGGCAACATGAGTGAACTATGGACGAAAAGAAAAAGTGTAAGTAGGTATTATACTCATCTGCCAAACTTAGCCGGTCCGAGACAATTTACCGCCCTAGGCAAATGCCAAATTCTGCGCCTCTTGTAAGCCTATTGTACCTTAACACTCACATTGCAAAGGGTTAACATAATTATTAACAAAATATTATAATTAGGAGAACAATAAAAATAATTAATTATTTAGATATTTTCATGCCTTTAAATTGGAAAAATCATACACAACTGTTATAAGAGTTTGTGCCACTTCATTTTCAATTGATGATGTTGCAAGCCAGTCTTTCTTCACACATTGCCGTAAATAAATTTAGAACGATATCTATTAGTTCGTTTGAACAAATATACATAATTTCAAAGTCCAGTGGTGTACTTTTGTGAGCAATTTTTCTGGCAATACTGCGAACTTCGTTGCATAAATATGTTGCATCTACTTATATCCGTCAATCCAACGTGAGTTAATGACATTTCTAATCTTTTACAAGTGGCTTTATATGTAGAAGTTTTCAGCTGATCAATATTAAATAAAAATCCAAAAGTTTCAGTAACTTGCTTCAACTCATCGCATATTTCATCGATTGGAGACAATGCAATATCAATTGTGTGGCCAAATATTAATTAATTTTAAAAATTTGCTTAACATCGCGAATAGGCTCATCTTAACCCTCATAGTAGAACAGTCTTTTCTGTTTTCTCAAGCGATCCAGTTGCTGATTCGGGTACATACCATACATACAGAAATATGTGATATTTTGTGTGCAAAACAATGAAATACTCGCAATCAACGCATAGCACCATACATATATAATACAACAACAACTACTGGGTGCTACTATTATAAAGTATTATATACAAATAAAATATATAAAGTAATTGTGTAAATTATTTTTTATTTTATTGAAATATATACATACATATGTACATATATATATAATGTGCATTAAACCTCTAAGACGGTCTCTAAGATCCGCACTTTTCGCACCCATGACAACTTGTATCAAAATTGATTTCGGTTTGTGGTTGTGGCAATCATCCGATACTGATTCTAGATGGTCAAAGAACACGAGTACCAGTACTGCACCGGCAAATGGACAGATAGACATCCGAATGTTCGCCACTTCATCACGAGCATTAAACGAGAGCATAATAAAACGAGAATCATATTACAATTTTCCAAACGAAATTGCTGTTATACTCAAAATAATATAAACTCACATGAAAAAATAAGCTCGTATTACAATTTTTCAACTGAAAGTGATTTATATTCAAAACAAAAATTATCAAAAATTTACGCATTCACACTTAAAGCATCGATTTGAAAGGAAGGAAGGCAATCGCTTTATTTAAGAACTCTTAATAACAGAGACATGGTATACATTTTTATACTCTCGCGACTTGTTGCTACAGAGTATAATAGTTTTGTTCACCTAACGGTTGTTTGTATCACCTAAAACTAATCGAGTTAGATATGATATGATATAGATGATTTTATAGGAACCACGTTCGAAATTAGCGTGGCACCGCCCACTTTTAGGTGAAAACCCATATCTTGGGATCTGCTTAACCGATTTCAAAAAAATTCGGTACATACTATTCTTCTAATATTTCTATGTAAATTCCATCTGAATTTTTCACTTTCCAGTATGAAAATCAAGCAACAATGATTATATCGGTTTAAAGTATGCCACCTTGAGACCAAAAATCATCTAAATTGAACCAAAACTGTTCAAGCCCCTAGGTACTGAATATATGGACCCCAGTGCCTATAGTTGACTTTTTACCGAAAATATCGGTCAACATAGAACAAGGCGGTAAGATCCACAAAGAAATCTAAAACGAGTATACCATTTGACTTTGCGAGAGTATAAACTGTTCGGTTACATCCGAACTTAGCCATTACTTACTTGTTATTTAATACATTTGTACAGTGGCGGTTGCAGCATTATAACCGTTATAGAAATAGCGATTTTAAAAATAAATAAATTTCCGTTTAAAATATTATTTCAAACATTTTAACGCCGTTTATTTCAATGGTAGAAAAGAGATATTACGACATTAAGGTGAACAACGATGTATCAAAACATTCCGGTCTCTGCTCTCTCTCTATCTCTCTCTGGATCAATAAATGAGAGAAGTATTTATCTTAACACTTTTAAATACTGTTCTTGCTTGTTGGTTTATAAAACTCCCCACACCATTACCGAAAGGAGGTGTTTTATGCGTTGTTAAGTGCATTCAAGAAGTAACTCGCCTCCTGTACTTCATCACACATAGATGACTGCGTCAGTTAGGACGCGCATTTCGCTATTTTTGACTTACACACACTGTTCATGGTTCAAAAATGAATTTGGCGTTTGAAGAGATATTGGCAGCTTACGTTACCGTTCTAATAATATAAACCGCTACTGTATAGACTTTTGGTGTTTCTCTAATTGTGGCTCAAATTCTCATTTACCCAGTGCGCAGAGCCTTCAACGCACACAGACGTGAGCTACAGTGAACTCCGTTAAGAGATACAGCCAAAATTCTATAATAGTTTCCAGGATAACGAAGGACGAATAAATAGTTGGGAATAAATATTATTAAAGGTTATAGTGAATAAAAATGGAGTGAGAAAAAATTCTCTGCCAACACATCCGTTTAAAAGACCGCCCTTATAAAAGTGGTAATACTGTATTCCCAAATGTTTACAAGCATATTGTTTTGCATATTTCCTCGACACTTTGGCTATACAGCACAACTATAAAAGCCCCTTAATTGTGAAGTTAAGATCAGTCGCATAAGACCAAGCGCTTGGATGCATTAAGATATTCGCCAACATATCTAGGCTTTATCTTTGTCATTCTGATATATAGAACCGCATATCATAAATCATAATAGTAAAGAATTCAAATAAATAAATAAAGCATGGAAAACAATACCGGGCAGACAGTTATTCAAATGTCTATCGAACAATTAAATTCACTTATCGATACAGCAAAATCTGCATCCACCGCCGCCTGCACCAAGGGCTCGTTGAGCAACTGCACCAGTCACTTTCGCGGACAACGTGACCACGAGGCCGTCGAAGAGTTCATCACAGCGATTGTGGCCTATAAAGAGCTTCAGTCGATTAGTGATGAAGATGCACTTAAAGGACTATCGCTCCTGCTGCACGGTATGGCCTCCACATGGTGGCAAGGTGTACGCAAAGAAGCGAAAACGTGGACCGATGCTATCACACTGATTCGCCAACATTTCTCACCCACCAAACCAGCATACCAAATATATATGGAAATGTTTACTAAAAAGCAGGACGAACGCACTCCCATCGACACCTTTGTCTGTCAGAAGCGTGCGCTGCTTGCACAGTTACCGGAGAAACGTCACGACGTGGAAACCGAATTGGATTTGGTTTACGGCTTAGTGAACATTAAATATCGTCGACATATACAACGACTGGATATTAAGACATTCCCGGAGTTATTGGAGAAGGGTCGCATCATTGAACACAATAACTTGGAGTACGACACAGTGCAATTATTGCATGCCACTAAACGAAACAAACGCTGCAGCCACTGTAACTTCCGTGGTCACACTTACGACGAATGCCGAAAACGTAAAAATGAAAGCGATGGCAAAACTAACGATGTCAGAACCAGTTCCAGTGAAGCGAATGAGATTCAATAAGAAGCTCTTAGTCAAGCAGTAAGACTACAGACCAACGCAATATTTAGTATATAAGTAATATTTAAAATAATTTGTAAATTAACACACTTTCAACACTCACCTCCCCATCCGTATCCGCATCGACGTCACACAAAGTGTTTACTAAATTTCTCGAATTGAATTGAGTTATTGGTTCGGAGGGCAAAGTAATCAAGGCAACAATTTACTGAGCCATTTACTTTGCCCGAAAAAATATACGAAATTCAATAGAGAGGGACTTGGTAACATTTTAAACAGATCATCAGTCAACACAACGCAACAAGCGCTAAAACGCCGTACCTTCACGGCTCAAATTGGCCGACAAACGCCAGCAATGACCAACGACAATTAAACAACTTCTGGAGAATGGTACTCGGAGAACAATATCCAGAGGTTCACTACAAATGAGTCATCGTGAGCATCAGCCACAGTTCGTTATTTGCCTCAGTGAGTATTTGTTTTATTATACAAGCTTCTTCCATTCGGCAAACAGAATTGCAGCTTTAACTTCGTAAATTTTTTGGCGTCAACTCAGGTGCGTGCCGAGCAATTAAAATCGTTGTTAACCCCTCAGCGGCTCGGCATGTATCTGAGATGACGCAGTTTTCTATTATAAGTAAAGGTTGCCGTTTTGTGAGTTGTAATCGAAAATAGTAAGTAAAGAATACTCTTGAGGACACTGACAAACTTCAATGGCTGCATGTTCCTACGACTCAAACTTCGCTGCACTCAATAGTAGAGGCTTGCGTCTCTGAAGATACCTAGCAAGTTTTGTTTTGATATATATTCGGGTAGCAGGCGCTCGCAACTGAGTGCAGCGATCTCCAACGTTGTATATTGCTGTCTACAATTTTGCGCTGTCTTACCGTTAGACGCATACTGTTGATATTGCAGTGTGATTGGCGTTTACACGGGCTCTCTCGTATAGCTACGTGTGTGACAAGGCCACTTCATAAAAGGTGGGAGCAGCAGCTGAAAACAAAAAAAAACTAATTCTTGACTTTAACGCTCAGAACAACAAGCTTGTTGTTGCCACCTTGTATGTATTCGCCTTGACATCTGGCATCTCACAGCAGACGTACATGCATAAGTACAGTATACGTAATATACTCGAGAGCGGCATTGGTTCACGTCAATACCGCTGTCATATTATATTATGTGTCATTGGTAGAGAGCGCAAAAGTTTGGACAGCAATTCCATATGTGACAAAAAATTTATTTAGGCACTTGCAGGTGCGCCTCTCTTCAAATGAGTACAACGATGGCTAGGCATTCGCCATTCGTACAGACGTTGGCACGCCAAACTGCCGCTCAGCAGACCTGCACTGCGTCAGGTGTAAGGCACGTCAACTAACTCAACATCGTCTTTCCTTGGTCTCTGATTCGTCATAACATTCGCATGTGAATCTCCAGAAATGTTGTGACTGTCATGGACCCCACGCTTTTACAGTTCCACATGTACTATTCCCACACTATTCGATGACGCCACCTCAAAAGAAACAAACGGCGGCTCTGGCCAATTGTTATGGTCTCCGATAGAGCGCCAAATAATAATCTGGAGCACCTGGCCCACATTTCGGTTGATCGTCTAATGGTCAGATAGATCGTCAGCATTGCGTGCTTTCATCGCCTGATCTTCTGGCATCGAGTACTGTGGGAATTCGCATGTGGAACTTCAACGAGCGAATAAAACTGTAAAACCTATCCACTTCTAACTAACTAATAAATTCATACAAACCAAACAAAAACTCAAACAAAAAATGTGTGTATATATGTAATAGAAATGTTAAAGTACTCGATCAATTAATGGTAAGTAACGTAAATTTTCACCTGAGTAGAATATTGGAAACATAGGCATATACGAGATATACATCACTCAGCTGTTTAGATTGATGTTGACTCTCTTTTAGTTAACGACATTTAATATCCTCCTAAAGCTGAAAGCCGACATTATAAGCGCTGGAACGTAGGCTCTACTCGTAGCAGTAATTGAAAAGCCGTTCTTAAAAGAGCCTCTGAGTAACATATTTTATGACAATAGGTGGAAAAGATACAATAGCGTTTAGAGGAGTAGAACTCTTACGTCTACAATATTCAAAATACTTTGAGCTATCAAAGAAAATTCGCCAGGCAATTTAACTGATTACGGATTCAAAGATTAATAAACAAACTGGACTGAAGGTCAAACATTTAGTGGAAGCAGTAAATTACTCATACGCCATGTAGAATTAAGTGGAGCAGGGAGTACTGCTTGATATTACTACTACCACCACCATGCCAACTTAAAAACTCAAAGAATGAGGCTTTTAATTAGGAAATAAATTATCAAGTTATATTAAGTATGAATGTGTATAATGCAATGAGTTATAGGAGACAGTGTAGTATGATATGTAGATTTATAAGTATTTATCCAGCAATATTTATTAATTTGTCTTGAGTGCATTATTTTACGAGGTCGGCTGTGGCGGTGGTGCCGCCGTGTTAACATTTTCAATGTTATATCGATATCTGTTCTTACTCATCCCACTCCGGTGTGGCACCTCAAATACTGAGCCTTGATGGACACGCTTAGTTGCCCGCACCTGACAAGACTGGTGCGCTTCCGATGCCAAACTATTGTGTTCGATAATACGCCCTTTCTCTAGCAATTCACGGAATGTTTTAAGGTCCTGACGCAATATATTCTTACGGTACTTGATGTTCAGAACCACACCAAATGACCAAATCCAATTCGGTTTCCTGGTCGTGACGTCCATCTGGCAGTTGTGCCAGTAGCGCACGCTTCTGACAAACAAATGTGTCGATGGGTACATTGTCCCATTCCTGGTTCTCGAAGATTTCCAAGTAAATCTGGTAGGCGGGTTTGGTGGGTGAGAAGTGGTCGCGAATCAACGCAATGGCATCTCCCCAGGTTTTCGCTTCTTTACGCACGCCCTGCCACCAAGTGGACGCCAGTCCGTAGAACAACAAAGACAGTCCCTTCAGTGCATCCTCGTCGCTGATCGACTCGATTTCCTTGTAGGTCACAATAGACGTTATGAACTCCTCAACAGCTTCGTGATCGCGCTGGCCACCAAAACGGCTGGTGCAGTTTGTGAAACTGCCTTTGGTTGTGACATTTTGCTTAATAGAAAAGAAAGCTTTATGAACGTGACTTTAGATGGCTCAAATGAATGGATTAATTATTATGTTATCATCTGTTATTGTATGTTTGTTGTTGGCAGCGTCTTTTCGCTACAATTGCCATGTCGTGGATGTGGTTGCAAGAGTCTACATTTCTTTTATATCCCCAGCAACTCATAACTATCAGAATCAGAAAATCAAAGTTACGAAGTGAATGAGAGACGAATGACAGAGAATATTAGCTGACTGATACGCACTAGAATTTGTAATTATATATATTGTATGTATGTATGTGCGTCTGCTCTCTATGTGTCGTATATATGTATGACCAAACGTTAAGGAATACAAATTTTTTAATCTATCCAATCTTTTCTAATAAATTATTTTATTGGTTTCTGATTTTTTATTGGGAGCTCGTTTAAGTTTAATTACATATCCGTTGTCAATAAACAAAAATAAAGTACATAAATACCATACACGTACATATGTACATATCTATATAAATATACAAACCGATTCAAAACATGAAGAGAACCACCGGCTTTTGTCTTCCATTTCACAATTTTTCGCTCACGACTATTGACAAAAATATTTACCATTCGTACTCATCAGCAGCATTTCGCTGAAGAGTATAACTCGTCCATTGAGAGTGACTAATTCATTTTTGAGGCACAGCCAAATGATTTCACAATTGAGTGGTGGCAAAATTTGGAAGAGCAGAGATATACTTAATTAATTACGCACCTATACATGGAAAACTCTTCTGCCACACGTTTGAGTAAAATAAATAACAGTGTATGAAATTATCAGCGGGAATAATGAATAAAAACGTCATAAATAGTATTATAAAAAGTAAATACCATATGTTCATATACTCGTATGTATGTATATACGTATGTAGGACTAAATATGTAAAACGTTCGAAATCGTCAACAAAAGGAAGTAAATTATCAGGAAGGTCTAAGAAGAGAACATACGGGTATTAGGGAAAAAATTGCAAGTTTAGACAAAAATGTTCGAATTTCTAAGGTCTGAGATGGTAGATCACTGCGCACTAAATCCGGGGATAGAGGGATAGTTTAGATTGTTAGATTATTAAAGGATATTCATAGCTTGGGGACTTAGATAAACCTTCATAGCCAGGTTCGTGAGAGCGGTGAATTTAAAGTAGCCCAAGAAATGCATTGGTTTCCATAGGTTTCCCAAAAACAAAAAATAATAATTTACTTGTATATATGAGTTTCAACTGGAACTGAAACAGTACTGTTAGATTCTAAATATTCAGTGTTTAAGTCAGCCCTTTTTTAACTCCATACACGAATCAAAAATACTTAGAAGCTATCTCAGGTTCTTAGACAAAAGATACAACATTATTTACAAATCCTAACCCGTTTTTCTTAAAACTAAATTCTTACAAATGACCGGTACTATAATCCGCTAAATTCATTTCAGGACATAGTTATTTTTAAAATCCATGCTTAATTGTTCATGAACATTTTAAGCGCAGCTTTTTAATTATTTTTATAGTCTGATAGGTGTATATTAAGTTTCCCACGACGTTTGTAACACCCAAAAGGAAACGCCAAATACCCTATAAAATATATATAAATGATTAGCATGACGAGCTGAGTCGATTTAGCAATATCCGTCTGTCCCAAAAGTTGCTCATTTATCAGAACCGCCGATATCAGACGATTATTGAATATGACTGTCATACAAACTGATCGATCCAAAACCTGTCCTTGCATGAAAATCTTTTGTATTTTACGAGATATTTTCACAAAATTTGGCACAGATTATTGCCCAAGGCAACGGACGACTATGCCATACAAACAAAAACCAAGTTCTTTTATGGAACTTTTCGTATTGTATAGCTTTGATTCAACCAAATTTGTTTTGTGTAAATTTCTACCACTTTTGTCAAATACTCAAGGATTTCCTTTGTATAAAATTGAATTTTGTTCCAGACTGAAGTTTGGTATAGAATATTTTCCAACCGCCTTACTTACAACGATGGCAGACGTACAGCTATCACCCACCACAGTAATGTTGTAGATAGAACTCAAATTGAAATGGCTATGAACTAACGCAAAAGTAATATTTCCTGCGCCGATCTCTTATATAACGAAGTTTAGTCATTTCACAACGTTGAGAACAGAACATTACTATATTTGTTTTTTAACCTGAAGATGTAGTATTTTTCTGAAGGAGTACTGCCCGCATTTTTGTATAATAATAAAACAGTTAAGATTTAGGTTTTGATTACCTTATTTAATTTTGCTTAACTTTTGTCGTTTTATTTTTTTTCCGACTTAAAGATGTTTTTGTGTTTTTTTTTTTGTTTTTAGGCAAAACTTATTGCTAATATTAACAAAGATTTAGGTACTTATGATAATATTTATATTAAGATGTATTTCTCATACTGTGAAATGTTTGATATTTTGAATTTATGTGGCAGTGCTTTTGCTAAACTATTAGCAAGTGAGACCACCAACCCCATTTAAACCGAATTATGGGCCGGGTCCTCCGAAATTCGGCGCTCTCGGCAAATGGCCGGTTGGTAGTTCCCACTCACGTGATGATGCTGTTCAACACTGCGGATATCAATATCACATGAGCAATATCTGAGGTTTCTACAGAGGCTAAGATCATCATCCCATTCCGGAGGTAAATGTGTGATCAGTCCTAGACATTTTATTTGAGTAAATGCATGAATGCATTTTGAGTGGCGAGCCATACGCTTGAAGCTGCAGTCAATGTTATTTAAACAAGCTTGACATGCAAATCATCAATTTGGCGTTCCAATTGTACGAATGGCGACAGTCTAGCCATCGTTGTACAATTTGGTAGCAGTACGATTTTAATATATATAATATATATGAAATTCGCTAAAAAAATTTGCAAATTGTATTTTTGTCACACGCAGAATCACTGTCAACACGCTTGAGAACCGAATTTGTATGTAGACGATGCGAAAACAAAACCGGATCCACCAGATACCGCTCGCACTCAATGTATAAATCCGAAGCAATACACACTGAAGTGCGATTGGCAAAAGTTTACACACCAATGTTCGTCGTATAGCCCAACAATATTAATTCGGAATACAAAATGTCAGACAGCACTTCCATGTGTAACGGTTGGTTTTTTGCCGCATTTGAGAGCGAGTAAGAGAGTTCAAAAGCCAAGTTCCTGATGAGCGCAGAATTAGAAAAGCTGTGCATTTCTTTAACTATGGGTTGAAACACACTGACCCGATAGAACTCTTGGAACAACACCGAAATGCTAGGCCAAGAGTCTACCAAATGTCGGTCTGAGCCAAACCATATGAAACAAATACAAAGCCATGCTCTAATCAAGCTTTCACTCGAAGGCGTTTGTACCACAGTCAACCGCAGACAAATGCAACGGAGTTTTGAGTCACTCATCTTCACAGCCATTTTCATAGAGGAAGCAATCAGCCATCGAACTCAGAAATTCAAACAACAAATCAAATATTTCATTCTTCGATTGAAAAACAATGGCAAATGACACTCGTTTGAAAAAGCCGAAATTCGTTAATACATGTTGAATAACTGGGATTCCGAGGAGATCACAGTAGTTACAGCATGCACACGAATCAACGCTTGAACGAAACAAGGGCATAAACCATTGCAGATTTCAATTGAAGAAAGAAACTCGAATATTGTCTGAAATGTCAAGCGAGGCAAACTGCTTCCAATATTATTGAAGCACAGCTGATCAAATGCGTGACTCGGTATTGTGGTTCCGAAGAACCGAGTTTGATTCAAAATTCTTGGTATCACTAATTGTGAGTTATTGTTAATGGCGTTCGTAGCCATGTGGAGCCGTGTTAGACATAGCGTGCGGTATAATGATTTTGACGAATCTAAGAGACTACTGTTCTCTTCTCCTCTATTGGAAATAGTAACCAATTTTTAGACAAAGACTTTGTCTTCCAATGCAGAACGGCCAATAGAATCGAAGAGAACTGTGAGCAACTCAGTTCGCAATAACTATATATTTAAACTTATACTAAGACTTAGTAGTATGGGTGCTGCTGTTGCCGCTGTATATCAAATTCACCAAAGTTCGACGCTGCTGCATAGCTTCGTTGATGAGAGCTAAAGTTTTGCTTTAGTGATTTGGTTGCGGCGCAAGCTACTCGGACTGCGACTTCACTGAGTGATGACGCCATTGTCCAATTTGTTTTATTGTGGTTGTTGGTATTGTGCGCAGGTTGCCGTCATTGGATTTGTTGTATGCGTGAATGTCTGGTTAATTCATGGAACTGATGCAGTGGTATGTGGTTTGTACTTATTCATTGCCTTCGTTGGTAGTTTTTCGCTTCCGACACTCCTCGAACGTGTGACCACGGAAGTTGCAATGTGTACAGCGCTTGGTGCGCTTCGAGCCACGCATTGGCCCGTTCTGCTCTGCTTCGCTCTCTAAGTTATTGTGTTCGATTATACGACCTTTCTCCAGCAATTCACGGAATGTTTTAAGGTCCTGACGCAATATATTCTTACGGTACTTGATGTTCAGCAAACCATAAACTAAATCCAATTCGGTTTCCTCGTCGTGACGCCCCTCTGGCAGTTGTGCCAGTAGCGCACGCTTCTGACAGACAAATGTGTCGATGGGTACATTGTCCCGTTGCTGGTTCTCGAAAATTTCCAAGTAAATCTGGTAGGCGGGTTTGGTGGGTGAGAAGTGGTCGCGAATCAACGCAATGGCATCTCCCCAGGTTTTCGCTTCTTTACGCACGCCCTGCCACCAAGTGGACGCCAGTCCGTAGAACAACAAAGACAGTCCCTTCAGTGCATCCTCGTCGCTGATCGACTCGATTTCCTTGTAGGTCACAATGGAGGTTATGAACTCCTCAACAGCTTCGTGATCGCGCTGGCCACCAAAACGGCTGGTGCAGTTTGTGAAACTGCCTTTGCTGTGAAGAGTGGCGGGTGCTGCAGCGCTAGCACCTGCAACGGCTGCCAAACGCACCGATTCGATCAGTGACTGCAGCTGTTCGGCTGTCATTTGTACGACGGGTTGTGACATTTTGTTGTGTGAAAAAATGTGGACTTCGTAGACGAGAAGTTAAAATGACTCACGCACAATTCTTGCTTATTGTTCTTGAATGTTTTGTTGTTAATAGCAGCGAACAAAGCCAATTGCTGTTAGCGAATGTCTTCCTGCTACTAGAATAATACACTTGTGACGGTCGTAAGAGACTGAATTCGGCTACCAAGTGGAGCGGCTTTTATAGTCGCCTTTGTATATGACGGATTGTAAGAGAAAATGCATGTATTCATAGGAATATAAGTATGTACGTACATACATATGTACAAGTAGTTGGATATGCACAATAAAAGCTCTCGGTCTATGTGCGAGCGGCAAGCGATACGAATTTGGACGTTGAAGTGCATATATATGTATATACGATTAACCTCAAAAGCCGGCAAATATTTATTTATTTTGTTTATTTGTGTCTATATTTTGCAAAATTCTTATTCTAATTTTGCCAACAAATAACTAATTTATATGACAAAATAAAGTTTTCTTTTGCTGTCACAACAACATTTGTAGAAAAATTCTTCAATTGACCATAGTTAAGGTTTCATCGGAAAACTTTTCAAGTAATTTGGTGCACTTAGCAATGCATACATTTGAATAAGTATATATTAATAAGGTGAATGTATTTACAGATATGTTCATGTGGTTGTGTAATTAGTGGCTATTTTTCATAGGAAATTCGTAATGTTTGCTTCAATTTCCAAAAGTTATGAAATAGCTTAATGCTTCCTCTTGGCTTGTAAAAATTCGAATACGAGCATGTGTGTTTGTATTTTTGTATGGAAAATATGATTATGATATGGAAAGGAATTTAGTCCAATTAATATTGCAAATTTTGAAGGCGATTGGCAAAAAACAAAAAATAAATCTTACAAACATTTACATAGGACATCAGAAGGATTGAGGTGTTCCAAAGTGGAAATTATTAGAAACATACATACATATTTTTTGCGATATTTTTTGAGTAATGGTATTTCTTATCAATAATCTTATCTTACCCTAATGGATTAGTCTTATTTTGTAACTGGTGCTAATTTGTTTGAAATTAAATTTCACAGTGCTTAGAATAAAATAGAAATAAATTGAGGCTTGCGCCGCGGCTTTAGATCTACTGTGCCCTTCCATCTTTCACACGAACTCACAAAGGCTCAGCAAGGTGCAGCATCCTGCTGGGCGCTATTGAGGGAATGAGATCCCTATTCAGATATATCATTCTAGAATCAGTTGCTGAGGGTTAGCAATGACAATGCAAACATACACATACATATTTATATTTAAATTTGTTTACAGGCAATCATATGTTTTTTAATAATTAACCTTTCAGTAACCTTCATTCGAATAAGAACCAAGTGTGGTAACTGTGCCACATGCGAACGCCAACGAATGGATAAGCAGAAATGTGATAAATGTGAACCGAGAAATGTTTTGTGTTAAATAATAATCATATTTTTAAAACCACAATCCACAACTTAACTCGAAAACAAAAAAAGAAGAAACAAATTTTAAAGTTTTTAGAATCCACCTCGGTTGATATCAATTTCAGTCAGAAGATTTGAAGATTTTTTACCCCCAATAGACTAAATGACCTCATAAAATACGCCAAAAACCATAGAAACTATAACCTCGTTTATCCCTTTCACAAAAGAGTGCAGCCAATTCTTTCATTTGTTTTTCACATTTGCATTGGAAGTTGGAACTGTTTATGTCTGCATTGGGTTACCTTGACCTAGGTAAGGTAGGTAATGCAATTAAGAGTTAATATCGATAATAATTGGTAATATAATTTCTATGATGCGATCATTATTTCGGTAAAACGAGTCGTTATATTTATTGATAATCTTTTTTAATATATGTAAAAGAAACTTTTTCTGGTTTGAAGTGCTACCATTTTTTGTTTTGCGCGTTAAAAAAAGAGTACTCTAATCTGTTCTATTAATCAGAAAATAAATGTTCAAAAGTTAGCCGGCTTTTATAAGCTTTCCTCTCCTGTTTCTCTTTGAAAATCTCAATAAACAAAAGTACACCTACATACATACTATATCTGCAGAGAGGTGCACAGTGAGCCGATCAGTGTATGGAATTCATTTTCATTCAGTCATTTCTCCACACACCTGTGGTATTGATTAAATTCCACATCCAGGCATGCCAGTAAACATTGAAATTAAGTTAACAGTTATTTGTAAGGTATTAATTCTGCCCGAAATCTCCCAAAATATGTAAAAGCTGTATATTTGGTTAGAACTTCGTGAATTTTTTTTTGTGACTAATAAGATCTAAAATCAACACAGATTAAACTCGACGAATCCGTTTTTCGTTCGAACATTGCGTTTTTATACTCTCGAAATATGTTGCTACAGCGTATAATAGTTTTGTTCACCTAACGGTTGTTTGTATCATCTAAAACTAATCGAGTTAGATATAGGGTTATATATAAATATATATATAAATAATCAGGAGGAAGAGACGAGTTGAAATCCGGGTGACTGTCTGTCCGTCCGTCCGTCCGTGCAAGCTCTAACTTGAGTAAAAATTGAGATATCTTTATGAAACTTGGTACACATATTTCTTGGTACCGTAAGACGGTTGGTATTGCAGATGGGCGTAATCGGGCCACTGTCACGCCCACAAAACGCCAATAATCAAATACAAATAAATTGCCATAACTAAGCTCCACAACAAGACAAAAGACTTTTATTTGGTATACAGGATCACATTAGGGAGGGGCATCTGCAATTAAAATTTTTTTAAGGTGGGCGTGGTCACGCCCTCTAATAGGTTTACTGTGCATTTCTCCTAAACCACTAAAGCTATAATAACAAAATCACTGGGAACAAATGTTTTCAGCATCTCTATCGACAGTGTGAAAATGGGTGAAATAGGGAGACAACCCCGCCCTTTCTCCATATAACGGTACTATTAAACTAAACGCGCTATAAATCAAGCACTAAACATGCCATAGACATTAAATTTTACCTCTGGGATGGTATGAGATGACTTTATAGGAACCGCGCTCAAAATTAGACAGTGGGCGTGGCCCCACCCACTTTTAGGTGAAAACCCATATCTTGTGATCTGCTTAACCGATTTCAACCAAATTCGGTACATAACATTCCTTTCATATTTCTATGTTATAGTGCGAAAGTGGATAACGACAACGCCTCTTTCCCCATATAACACCATTTTAAATTCCATCCGATTCTTTCACTTTCCACTATGCAAATCAAACAATCTCAAACGAGCATACCATTTGACTTTGGGAGAGTATAAATTGTTCGGTTACATCCAAACTTAGCCCTTCCTTACTTGTTATGAACTATATTTAGGGAGCGACATGCTCTGACAGAGATGCTCTGTACAAATTACCGATGACTAATAACCGGCTACGTATATTTCACAACTGCTGACCCGACGAATTATTGGAGCTTTTCGCTCCCAGTCAACCAGCTAAGAGAACCACCACCCAAAGACGAGTACCCACATATATCGGCAAACGAAAACAGTCTTCTCTTGGCTGCGGCTGCGGCTGCAGTTGTCATCAGTTCGTCGCGCTCACGCTTTTATATCACGTTTACTATTATAAAAACACAACGCGCTTGAATAAAAGACAAAAGCTACGCAAAAATGTCGACTGGTTGCATGTCCGATGAGCAATTTCAACAATTACTCGAAACAATACGAGCGCTCGGCCCACAACACACCGAACAGCAGCAGCAACAAGAAATTAACAAGGCGAAAAGCAGTTTTGGCAATTGCAATGTACGCTTCCATGGGCAGCGTGATAACGACGCCGTCGAAGAGTTCATCAATGCCATCGAAACCTACAAGGACATGGAGGGCATCAGCGATAAAGACGCCCTGAAAGGTCTGCCACTTCTCTTTCAAGGTATTGCTTCCACATGGTGGAAGGGCGTACGCCGCGATGCGAAGTCGTGGCAAGATGCTCTACAACTGCTGCGCGACCACTTTTCACCGACGAAACCACCCTATCAAATATACGTTGAGATTTTCGAGTCAAAACAGTCCGATCACGTGCCGATTGATACCTTTGTTTGTCAGAAGCGCGCTCTGATAGCGAAACTGCCGGAGGGGCGACACGATGTGGAGACTGAGCTAGATTTTGTTTATGGCCTGTTGGGATCAAAATATCAACAACAAATACCGCGACATGAAATTAAAACGTATAGAGAGCTCTTAGAGAAGGGACGCAATGTCAAGGATGACATGATGCGAGACTCTCTCATTTCCGCTGATTTTTCTGTTATTCTCTTTCCCTGATTATTAAAATCAGGGAATTTCGAACAGCTGATGTCAAAAAAGGCGGGATGCCAGAAATAAACCCGCTAAAAATAGCTAACAAAAGCAGTGCGAAAAGAACGACACAAATACTTTTGAATAACGTGCAACTAAATTTTATTTGTTAATTTAATTTAAAACGTTCATTATAAAACCATGATATTTTATTATGACTTGTATTGTTTCTTTGTTATAATTTTTTTTATTTATATGCTAATTTTTTATGTTATATGCATTTTTAAAAATTTTATAATATAAATACAAGTATATAGGGATGTATATGCGTTATATAGGCCTACTTGGGGACGGAGCACCTAAAAATAATATCGAAATGCAAAATACCCCCAAGTTTTTTTTATAATACCCAATCCATTTTCGTTCGACAGTGGCATGATTGGCAAATGTTATAAAAAATGTGGGTTTTGACAGCTCTCTCTCGATTCAAAGAGTCTCGCATCATTTCATCCTTGGCAATGTGGAGCGACACAACACTATAGGAAGACGCAACTAATAGGGAATGTTATGGTCACAGCAGTAAATTGTGATCTTCAGTTGTTCTTCATAGCGAAAGAGTACATTGTGTTCTCACTATAATAAGGGAAAGTAATAGAATATTATTAATTTGTATAATAATAGTAAGAAATATTTATAATAAAAAATGCATAAATAATAAATAAATTTTTACAACTATATGTTCTAAAATAATAAACATAAATAACGAAGAAAAACGAGACCATTCGAAGTTGATATAAATATAACAAGGAAAAGAACGGTTTTTTATATGCGGCCAGAACTGTCACTTCCTAGAAAAAAGGGAAAAATTTCAAGCTTCTTGAGGCATTTACAGTTATCTGTGTATACAGTCGCTTATACTCGTACATAAGTTTTTTTTATTCTATTGTTTAATTTAATTGCGCTTTATATCCTGTTTATTATTTTTTAACAAAATTATATTATGTATCTTATAGTATCATATTCTTATTTATATAAGTTGCATTGGCTTTTAACCGTATCTCGAACATTACACACCGAAACCATTGTATACATCTACTTAGGCTATACAATGAACATTACACACCGAAACACAACTCACTCCAGAAAAGCAACCTCACATAGATCGCTTTTACACACAGACTCTTTTGTAACCCAAACCGGTTTATTGTGGGCGAGGGGACCACGAGGAAAGACGAAGGGACCGTGCCACTCGTGTTCGGATGGCACGCTTTGTGTTCTTGTTCGTAACAGCTCGCTGCTACCCTTTTCAGCATTCCTTGTCACTTTCAAATCCTTGAACGGTTGCAAGAGCGCTTGGTTTCAAATGAATTCGTTCACAAATTTGAATTTTGTTATCTATTTTTTGTATGTAATATGCAAATATGTATGCATAGAATAATAGAAATATTTTGAAAAATTGTAAATGAGGAGAAAATTAAGATATAGATTATGGAGTAAAGAAATTATGAATTTTTAATATTTAGAGATTAGGAAATTCCTGATATAAATTTGGCCTTGAAAATATTAGTAGTGGACTTTCTGGGGGATTAGGGAATTCTCAAAATAAAAATGAAATATGCAACACCCTCTAAGTGTTGCGCAATCGAACCGCACAAATATTTACGAAAATTTTGTGAAAAGGAACGCAGAAAAACTAGACTCGAGTTGCTGGACTCTTTTTGCCCGTGTGAATGCACAGAGCGACATCAAAAGAGAATTTGTAAAAAATGAGTGTCAAAAGAGTCCCAATGTAAAAGCACTCATATAAAACATGCTTAATACCTATAAATATACCTCAGAGAACCCACCACAGGGTTGCACAGGATTATATACATTGCTAAAAATAGTAGTTTGCATTACACTTAATTTTATATGATTTTAAAATTGTACAATTAAAAAATTTACTGTAAGGCTATGAAAGTAGTGTTTGCTAACACTCTCGATTGATTGACAAATTTTTTGAGAATTGAATTGCAAGTATAATCTAATTCAGGCATATAATTTTTTTTGAAATCATACCTTATATGAATTGCGTACTTTTATGACTTCACAGTAGAGTTTGCAGTGAACCCTTGGAATTTTCATGTGCAGTTGTTGTTGGGCAGTTTGACAGCGACCAAACAGCAATATGACATTTACGTGTGCTGCGGAGTTTTGCAAATGGCGACAGAGCACCTTTAAAACGGTGGGTGACGATAAATCCAGTTTTAAATTGTGTTATAATATTATAAAATATTTCTTGGTAAACAATTGAAAGGTAAATTGTTATTGAAAATTTAGGTAATCAGAAAAATGAATGGCGTAATAAAAAGCATAACAGCAAATCTAAGTTTCGGTGAAGCTAGCAAAAGCGATACCGCTAGGCTTGTGATTGAAAATTGTGACTTCGATTTCAAAAAATATTTAATAGTTTTCCTTTTTAACAGACAACATATTTCAACTATCTACTATTCGTCTCTTTGTCCTGTGGCGCTGAAATTATAAAGTTTGAAGGAAACATAAACTATTTGCGGTCGATATGACGACGAGCAGTGAGGATGTGCTGCTGCAAATGGGCGAAGTGCGTTATAAAAAAGGTGATGGCACGCTCTATGTAATGAATGAACGTCTGGCATGGATGGCGGAAAATCGTGATACTGTGGCGGTGTCACATCGTTTTGCCGACATTAAAAGTAAATGCATAATTTACACGGTAAATGAAAGTGTAATTACATTTACGTTTCTCCAATAGTGCAGAAAATATCGCCTGAAGGTAAACCAAAAGTTCAACTTCAAGTTGTATTGCATGATGGTAATAGTTCCACATTCCATTTTGTCAATCGAAATGGACTGCAAGCGGTGCTTGAAGACCGCGATAAAGTGAAGGAGTTGCTGCAACAGCTTCTTCCAAACTTCAAGCGAAAAGTCGATAAGGAATTGGAAGAGAAAAATCGTATACTTTCGGAAAATCCAAATTTGTTGCAACTCTATAAGGATTTAGTTATAACACAAGTACTAACCAGTGAAGAATTTTGGGCCACCCACGCCAAGGAGCATGCCATGAAGAAGAACAATAAAAAACAGGATATTGGTGAGTTAACATTGTATAGAAAATGTGTGGTCAGCTTATTAAGATTTCCATATGTACAGGTGTTTCTGGCGCCTTTCTTGCTGACATAAAGCCACAAACTGATGGTTGCAACGGCTTGAAATATAATTTAACGCCCGACATAATTCTGTGTATATTTAAGACGTATCCCGCCGTGAAAAGAAAGCATCAAGAAAATGTTCCTTCTAAAATGACGGAAGCAGAATTCTGGACCAAATTCTTCCAGTCACATTACTTTCATCGTGATCGTATTACAGCCGGTTCTAAAGATATTTTTACAGAATGTGGAAAAATTGACGATCAAACTTTAAAAGCTGCGGTCCAACAAGGAGCTGGCGATCCTTTGCTGGATTTGAGGCAGTTTGAAGATGTACCGTTGGAGGAAGGTTTTTGCAGCGTAGCCGGCGATCGTAACAAATCGAATAGTGGTAATATTGTCCATCAAAATATGATAAAAAGATTTAACCAACATTCAATAATGGTGCTGAAGACTTGTGCCGATGTGTCCGGGAGCTCTACTTCAACAGCCAATGGTCCAGCAAATAAAATTAAAGACTCGAAAAATACGGAAACCGCTAGAGCTAATGGAGGGGTTGAAAAACCCAAATCATCAAAGGAGAACAAAATAAGTGATGCTGATACTAATTCAGCAAGTAATTCCACTGTCAACGGCGTACTTGGAAGCCCAGATAAGCCGGCAAAACGTCAACGGATTATAGAAAAAATCCATTATGAGGATCTTGGGGAACCGTTAATAGAAGCGGCAGATACAACTGATAGCAGTAAAAAAATTAAGAAATCGCAACAATTGTCACTAGCCAAAGAAGAGCGGTATTTACATGGTCCCATGCCAATAACCGGCTATGATATGCATGAGGATCCACGTCGTATGGAAGAAATTCAATATCACTTAATGCGTGCCACAGAAAATTGGAACCAACGTACACCGCACAAGGTTTTGGTTAGTCCCACGGCGGCGGTGAATGCACTGGGCGAGCTAAGTCCGGGTGGTGCGCTTATGCGTGGCTTTCATGAGCAATCAGTTGGTCGTAAGTCTGTGGCAAGCGCATCTTTTGAGTAAATTTTTAATTTTTTTTTTATTACTTTAGAGTTGGTACCTCCCGATTTTGAGAAGGATTTACGTAATTTATATTTATCGCTGTCGGAATTGTTGAAACATTTCTGGAATTGCTTCCCACCAACCACCACAGAAGCCGAAGAAAGGGTCGTACGCATGCATGACGCTCTTCAACGCTTTAAGATGGCTAAGCTGGTGCCGTTCGAGGTATCTACAATAATAAAGCTTATCTGCAAAAGGTTTTCTTATATTCTTTATTTTTCTGTTTCTTTTTTTAGAGCCGTGCATTGCATGAGCTCTCTCCACTGGGTGCTTCCCTCACTCAGCATTTGAATCGACTGCTGCAGTCGGCAAACACGAAATTTGCAACTTGGCAAGAACGAAAGAAGCGCCAAAATAGGTAATAACCCTTCGTGCAAACGCATGTGCCTGCTATGGTTGTTAAACAACGGCAAAACCGAAATTGAAAACATGCACTCACTTCATCTGGAAATTTCTGAAACTGTTTGTTTTTTGTTTTTGTTCAACTGTATATATTCAATCAAATTACAATTCATTTCTCATCGCTCATCAGCTAATTTACCGATATTTATATTTGAATTTATTATTAGATTCAGATATAAACAAACATTTTTATTTTCTTAAATAACGGTTCAACAAGCATAAATATTTAGAATAAAAATATTTTTAAGCAAAGAATGTTGACTTTTCTTTAAAAGAGAAAGCTAAATATTAGGTTGGATTGGCATCTTCTGCTTAGAATTTATTTCAAGTATCTTATATTATCGACGTGCTGCATTATCGCTGTCGCTTTCTTGTGATTTGTTGACATAAATAATTAGCGATCTCTTACTACTTTCTGTGGCTTATTTGTAATGTCGCTCTCTAGTAATGAAATGGTAGAACTTATTCTCATTCATGGGCAGCTTAACTTATAGCAAATAGCTTGGCAAGGAGGTTAATGCATTTAGTCGTTATTTAAAGCCTTCTTCGAAAAGACGTGAGGAGATACGAGTTCAATAAAAATCGGTTAAAGTAATTAAACAAATAATTGACAAATAACCATCAATAGTGCTGTACAATGGCCGTGCGACGAAATGCTGACTTTTGTTTGCGGCTTCTAAGCTTGCTTTGGTGTTGTAACCTGTGTTGTGGTGCAGCGTTTTTTCCAACCAATTCCGCATATGGTGTAAGTGCGCAAAGTATTCGAAAGCAGTTGAAAGTAATTTAAGTGTGCTTTTAGATTTTTGCCGCCATTGCAGTGCCGTTGGAGCTGCCGCATCGGAATGTCTTTATTTCTTACAATTTTGAAGCGAACTACAACTTGCCGTACACGTGGAATTTGCCTCCAATAGCGGTTAGTAAAAAAATATCCATATGCATTCACATTAGAGTGTATATATAGCACATTTATTAGTTGAAACTTAACCGTACTGTTATGTGCAATAAAAATGCTTTCAGACGGGTATCGAAGATGAGGATCTCTTGCCTCAAGCTAGGGACTTACGGCATTTGAATCAGACAGACGGTTGTATCAACTGCACGTTCCAAAATATTACTACAGATACAACAACAACAGCGCATACAGTGAATACAACAAGTTATGCTAAAGAATCCGCAACAAGAACACGGCGACAAACGGAAGGTATGCCAAATTCATTGCTCTCGCGCACTCACTTCTACCACATACTTATGGATAAATTCAAAAGGTTTGTACTTCATGAAAGTTGAAAGCCAAAAATAGTAATATACAAAATAGTCAAATTTAATAATTTTCTATTTGATTATCGATAAATTAGAATTCTGATATTTTCACACTTCACACTTTTTTCCGTAAAATAATTTGCGCCAAAGAATATTATGCATTATTGCGTGCGTGTATGTGCATTTGTATCAATGTTCTCACTTGGTTCTCAACCGCTTTTTTTTTGATTTTTTAATAATCAATTATGAAATGAGTGTGAAAATACTTTCTTCGACGCAATTGCGCAGCAGCAAAGGAAAAACTCTAATTAGTCACTCACGCTTACGCGCAGGCGGTTGATGTCTTTGATGGCGCTCTTCCGCCTCCGCTACAGTGGTGTGGCGATTTGATGCAACGAAGCGAACTAAAAGGCTGGTCGCCTAAGTCCTCGTGCCGTGTGACTTATGGTGTTCATATGCCAATTTTATCGTCGGGTTTTATTTGTGTTTATATATAAAAAATAAATTGATTTATAAAGAAATATATAAATCTATTTATGTATTTGTTCTCTTTCAGAAGCGGTTACAATGCTGAGCACTGCTTGCTGCGTTTGATTTGCGAAACGAATTCCTCCGGCCTGGGTGAGGTGAACGGTGTGCTCGGCACATTAGTTCATATAATGTTTTCGTAAGTCATGTTCCTTTTAAGAATACTTCTTCTGCCTCCCTGACTGCATAATAAGTGTCGGCTTTTCTGTAACTTTCAGTCCTAGCACGTCTGCGCATGAAAATCTTCCACTTCCTTACTATCAAGCCGAACTAGATGGTTCGTATGGATTTTGTGAAGAGTATGCGGCCGATTGCCAAGAAAATCCTTTGGATTTAATTTCTGCACCGCTTGGCGACTTTATCGATGATTTAATAAATAATAAATGAATGAAATAAAACATTTGCGTAAAAATTATTTTTAGTAAATTAATATAAATACGATAAATAATTTTCGGATTGTCCTTAGCCTTATATAATTCGACCCTTTCACGTAGACCCGACTGTGAGGACGTCAATGTTCCGATAATTGGGTTTCGTTAGTTATAATCCTCATAATGTTCCGAGCAGGTGAGCTTTGGATTCAGTGGATTGAGGATATCTGCAATCATTTTCTCCACGTAGTTCAAATGTGTAGCTGGGTGGGTTACATATTTATGGTATATATATAAACAGTATGTATAGTTTAATTTTCTGATCTGAAAAATTAAACCTTTATTTTAATGTTCTGGCATCAAAATTAATTAATGACAATAAAATTAATAAATATCAAATATTTGGAACGGAAAACACACAACAGTTACAAAAAATCACCTACTTTAAACAAAATTTTCTAAATTATATAACTTAGAATGTACCCAAAGAACGGTTAGTCTGACTTTGCAGCTGAAATGAACTTCCGAATAATCGCCATAGCACTGCTAGCTTAGGCTGGGTCCATGCCGCCATTGACTCCAGTAAATCCCCAGAAAAACTTGAATCAGTGCTGTAGGAAGCCGAAACCGAATCTGAACGCCTATAGTCGTCAGTGTCCTAATATAATAGACCGTTTTAAATCATCAAATCTGGTAGTACATCTTAATTTCGTAATATTCTAATAATTGAATGCCGATTTCATTGCTTAGGAAAAAGGACAGGACAGGAGCTACAAGTGGACAACACTCGTAAAATGGCTCTACCCGAATAATCCCGAGGTTGTCAATGCTGTGGCTGTCAGTTTTGATAAATGTCAGTCTTACAAATGTGAGATGATGAAGGAATATATGACCAATTATCAATTAATAATGGGAACAAGTAATTGCGTCTTCTGTGACGGTAAATTACGTTGGGGTACGTAACAGATAAGTTGCTTAACGCAAATTTGAAAAGGCGTTTTAGAGTGCTTGGAAGAACCTGCCTATTGTAAATGCTCCCTTCTAATGTATTTAGATGTGTAAATCAATGTCTGATTGTTTTTTTTTTATACCTGAAATACCGGCGGAGGGTCTCTTATATGGGCCTGGAATAGACGACTCCATGTAAGTTAAAAACAATGTTTTTATCCCATGTAAAGTGCATTCCAAACTTTAAACGCGTTTTTCTCAGAATGGTGTTTTCACAGTCGGTGACCAACATTACTCGAAAACGGCTAAACCGATTAATGTCAAATTGTATTGGGTGTCTGCATTAATTCGTGCGGTTTTTTTACGAAAATTAAGACTTTATTGTGAAAAAATTGTTATACATTTAATGTTCAAAGTATTGCCCATCAGAAGCTATGATGTTTGCCCATCTTTCTGGCAGTTTGTGGATCCCATCCCAAAAGAACTTCTCCTTGGCTTGGAGGTCAAGAAAGAATCAATCCAATTTCTGATATCCTGTTCTGAAGAGAAGCGTACTCCGGTGAGGGCATTCTGCATTGATCTGAACAAGTGGTAATCGGAAGGTGCTACGTCTGGGCTATAAGGCGGGTGAGGTAGAACTTCCCACCCACAGTTTTCCAAATAGTTTTTAACTGGCCTTGCAACATGTGGCCGAGCGTTGTCATGATGAAAAATTATTGATTCGTATCTGGTCGCATATTCTGGTCGTTTTTCCGCGATGGCCTTTTTCAAACGAATCAATTGTTTTCGGTAGAGGTTCCCATTGATCGTCTGACCCGATTTCAATAGATCATAATAGAGCACACCCTTGTGGTCCCACCAAATACATAGCATAACCTTGACACCATGGATATTCGGCTTTGCCGTGGATGTCGATGGTTTGCCGGGCTTCACATACGATCTCTTTCGCTTTGGGTTATCATAATGAATCCATTTTTCTTGCGTCTGGCATGCATCTGCGTCGAGCAATGTTCCAATTCTTCGTCTTGAAGTTTGTTTGGCTGTCCGGGTCGTTCTCCGTCGTCTAAGTCGAAATTGCCACTTTTAAACCATGCAAACCACTTTTGGCACGTTCGTTCGGCTAAAGCATGGTCACCATAAACGTCCAGTAAAATACGATGGCTTTCGGCAGCACTTTTCTTCATGTTAAAATAATGAATGAATTTATCTGGTACAAATTTCGACATTTTCAAATGAATGAAACAAATTGTTGTTCACGCTCAAACAATTTATATCTACTGAAAACGACGCGAAATGGCAGTACCTTTGAAATGAATATAGCCACAGATGAATACGACGCGAAATAATACTAGTCCCTCTCTTAGAAAACCGCACGAATTAATGCATACACCCAATAACACGAGCTTTATAAATATATTTTGCTTATTCCTTCGATTAGTTACTAGATTTACCATTACTCTAACGAAATCTGTTTGAGTTTTTAATTTCAGATGATCCAGTTCAGAGATATAGTGGCCACCGCAAAACGTCTTTTTTGAGAGGAGCTCCCGGAGATCAGCTGTAGCTCTTTTCTAAATAAATATTTTTACTAGTACTAAGTCTTCAAATATAGTTAAAAAATACCAAAATATGTGTATAAAATTTTGGATCAATGAAATTAAAAGTTTTCTCAGAAAAACTTTTGGAAAATTCACTTTTTTTCGATCTTCTATCTGTATATAACCCCTTATGAAACCCAATTAGAAGAGAGCATTTTAAGGAAAAGTATTTAAAAACATAAAATGAAAGCTTAAGCGTTCAAATTCGTACACTTTAACTGATTACACCTCTGTGAAAGAATAATTTTATTGAAGCGAAAGGAAAAGGGCCTTATACAATCATAATTACAACTTCTGGGTCTCTCTGTTTGTAGTCAAATATTTGGGTAAAGATAATGGATTTTATGAGAAACTTTGTCAAGGAAGAAATAATCGAAGATTAGTCAGAGCGGCCAAAGCACAACCGTTTTTAAAACTACTTTAAATTTACACTTCTACAATCCCAACAGTTACCAATTCCTTATGGCTCCTCAATACAATATGAGTGTCTTCACATAGATTGTGTTGTTTTATGAAAATAGTGCAACTCGCAATGTGCGGTATTTTTTCTTTAATTATAGTGACGCGATTTAGTGAACTCTCTATTGAATTCAATAGATCCTGGAGAATATACTGCTGTAAACCACTTTCAAACCTAGGTAGTATAAGTAAAGGTTTTTCCTTTAATCGGTTAGACGAATTTATTGTTTAGCTCACTTTTGGGTATATTTGGTTACATTGAGGGGTGAATACGATGAATGCACAATGCTATTTGGGCGTATGTGGCTTATTAAACTTGTATTGGAAGAGACACATTCGCATCTTAAACTGTGTGTAAGTGTTATTCAAGTTGTAGTGTATTATCGAAGCCATTTGTATCGTAAGAGTTCCGAAATTCACCAAACTGACACATATCATCTTCGTCCATGCACATTGATGAGTCCATCATTGCATAATATTGTTGTAGTTTCTCGAGCAAACCCGGTGGCATATTATCCAATGAGACGCCGTTTAACATATCCATAATGTTTGGATCGATTTCGGATAATTGCTGCAAAAATTCTATATTAGAAAACGAAGATTCATCAAACTCATAATCCTCATCGGCGATGCCATCGTCATAGCCTAGCCGGGTCAAGTCATTCTGGAAGTCGGAAGGTAATAGGAATTTAAGTTAACTTCAAGGTTATATAATATTAAGCTTTATATTTGCTAAGGTGTACAGGAACCGTTACACACCCGATCTTTAACCACAAAATCCTCAAATCTCGCTTCGGCTGCTGCAATCGTTAACCAAATGACCACAATATTTTTAAAATTCATTATAATTCCTGACTTCATATCTCACAAAAATCCGTGGGGTTATAATATAATCGAGACTAATATGCAAATGTTTTCTGTGATATTTTCCATTAAAATCTAGAAACATATATATCTGCAACAATGCCCATTTAAGTGTGATTAGCTACGCTCCATTTAACTCTAAGCGAAAGTGATAGTATCGTCGTGCTCATAAGGAAATTACCAACCATACAATTTTATGATATTCTATACTTATTCGAACTCCCAAAAAATGTTAAACGATTTTACATGTTTATAATTATATTATGTATGGCGTGTTTTAAAGCTTTTAGCAAAGCTACTTTAAAAATGTGACTAGACGCGCTAAATTCTTGCGACCTAGGCTGAACTGATCTATCTAAAAGGCCGTTTTATGGAAAGGGCTTAAGTGTTGCTTGAAATATCAATAGAGGTCTATGGCTAACACTTGTGAAGAATATTTGGGTGAATATCAGACCAAATATTTAGGCTTGTTGTAAGTATCGGACTTGCTTAGGTAGAGTATGGAGTTTAAACTAATAACACTGCTCGTAAGATAGATATAACATATATTAATAGTATATAATAGCTTTGAAAGAGGTAGAGAAGCTTTTCCTGGAAACTTGTTTGAGAAGAATTTTTTATTGTCAATACAAAAGCCAAGGGATCAATAAGTATTGTGGTTATTAAATTTTTGATCAGTTCCTATTAAAATAAAAATAATTTCACATACCTACGTATATTGAGCCATTAAATTTATTCAAACGAACAAGTGTGTTAGCACACGAATGCTAAGATAAAGCCGAGAACTGCCTTAAGACAAAACTCGTCCGCAATAAAAAGTTATTGTAAACCTAAATTTATAATTTCATAAAGTTCTTTCGCCACTCCTCGCACAGCTTCCGGCTCCTTCACTCGTCTGCGATACTCTATCCAATTGGCAGTGGCACGTGCGGCAGTGGATTACACTGTGCCGCAAAGCTCTTCGCCACATTACAGTGCTCCTCGTCCTTCCACATTTTGGCGGGGCAGTGCAGGAAAGTCTCGGCGTTTACACAACTGTACATCATGCTGGCTAAAGGTGAGCAGCCCATCGGCAGTTTGGCATAGGTTTTAATGCCCATCGCAGACATGTGACCCTTGACTGTGAGGCAACCGAACAACAAGAAGAAGAAGAGCGTG